ACAGATCAATGGGTCTTCTGCGCCGCCCAGGTACCCAGCTTTTGTTAAGTAAAGTAAAGCGATATTTCTACGATCTTCATTTGAATTGATATTTTAAATCGCCATCAAACAATCGACTTTTAACTCCGAAGAATCGGCATGTTGTTGTGAAATAAATAAATTCTAATTATGAAATACTTATACTACCATTTCTTTTTCACTTGTAAATAATAAAAAAAACATCCTTTTATGAGAACGCCAGACAATATTTTAATTTCTTTCTAACTCTTTGACGCAGAATTTTTGATAAACATTTTTCTATATACTTTCATATATATCTTTTACACTCTTCATTATTTTGTACTAATTTAGTCAAGACAAACGGTTAAAATATTATTTATACAGAGATGCCAACTGCTCCGGACACGCCAAAGTAATAAAAAAACGGTAAATAACTAAGTAAATTTTGCAAATATTTGACTATTTTTGCTTGCTTTATAAAACGAATAGCATGACCTAAGTATTATTAAGTGGTGAATTATATAAGTCTACTAATAATTTAGAAATAGTGGAGGAAAAAACTCTACTACATTGAATTTATTAAACCAATAATCACAATTGATAAACTACCACTCTAAAATATATATTTGCTGTCCGGAGCAAGTTGGTATCTCTGTATATAGCAGTTTAATAGCCTATTTATATTAAATACAACATAAAACACCGAAGCTTTTATTTTTTTAATTCATTTTTTGCACGTTAAAAAGTAAAATCCCCCGAACGCGACTGACTTCTAAGCAATAATTTTTTCAAGCTTGCAGTTAGTTAGATGTAAGAGGAGCATTTATTCAGCATTGAAATTTCTGTAATTTACAAAATCAATTATTGATAGATTTTTAAATCAGAATTTAAAATTTTTTTTCTTCTTCAAACTACTTTTTGTGTTTTTTAGTACAAATATATTTCCAATAATATAAATGTACTTTTTTTTAGGAAACTGTCTTTTACAATTAAAAAAAAATACCAAAATATATTTTTGTGTGTAATTATAGAGTCGGAAAAAATTATTATAGGAACACCGGTGCGTCAAAGAAATAATGGATAAGATTAAAAAAATTTTTTTTTAACCCAGATGCAAAACTGCTTAATTTTCTGTACAAGTTTTTATTACGTGGTAGAGAATTAAGAACTAAAACTTGAAGATATTTGACTAGTTTCGCTATTACTTTAAACGTTTTATTTTAAACCATTTTAGAAACATCGCTTTTGTTCAAAATGTTAATAATGACTGTTAACTAAAACTTTTCATTTTTCGCACTTACAATTGGAAAAACTGAATAATCCTATCTACCACAATCTATTAACTACATAAAATTATTTTTTTTTGTGACATAAGCTACCTTCCGTCTGCTAATTCCTTCCATACTGTTTTTTCCTTACGGTATTAAAGTGGAATAAAAATTTCAACTTTAACAGCCTTGACTTGATAGGATTTGTCGTAGAGTACCTGCCCGCCAAG